CCTCCACTTCTGAAAATTTACAAACAGTATTACTAAAAACCATATGGAATTTTAATGTTAGGAAGATCTGCCTTTTCTAGAATGTCATATAGGTAGAACCATACAGTATGTAGCCTTTTCAGAACCAGACCTATAAATACAGAGAACAAACGGATGGGTGGGGGATGGAGGGTTGGGCAAAACAGGTGACAGGGAGTGGGAGATACAGGCTTCCAGATACGGAATGAATAGGTCATGGTATAAGGAATACAGCTAATGATGTTGTTAATAGTGAGGTATTGGGGCAGAGGGTAGCTAGACTTGTAGTGAACACAGCATAACGTATAGATTTCTTGCATCACTATGTTGTCCATGTGAAGCTAATGTAACACTGTGTGTCACTACACTCAGAAAAATAAACCCATACATTTCCTCTAAGCACTGCGTTAGTGGCATTGTACCAATTTTGATATGTTGTATATTCATTACTTTTCCTTTTCAATATTTTCTAATTTTTCTTGTGATGTTTCTTGCCCCATGGATTATTTAGAAGTTGTCTATTTTAAAATTTGGGATGTTTTTCTAGATATCGTACAGGTCTTCCTTGACTTATGACAGGGTTACAACCTCATAAACCCGTCACAAGTTGAAAATACCACTAAGTGGAAAATGCATGTAACTCACCTAACCTCCTAACATCATAGCTTTGCCTAGCTGACCCTATTAGAACACTTACATTAGGGGCGCCTGGGTGGCTTACTCAGTTGGGCATCTGTTTTCGGCTCAGGTCATGATCCCAGGGTCCTGGGATGGGGCCCCGCATTGGGCTCCCTGCTCGTCGGGAAGCCTGCTTCTCCCTCTCCCACTGCTTGTGTTCCCTGCTCGTTGTGTCTGTCAAATAAATAAAATCTTTAAAAAAAAAAAAAACAAAAAACACTTACATTAACCTATGGTGGGAGAATACCATCTAACACAAAGCCTGATTTGTAATAAAGTATTTAATATCTTGTGTAATTTATTGACTGCTATATCGAAAGTGAAAACCAGAACGGTCGTATGGTACAAAATGATTCTAGGTGGATCAGTTATTGACCTTTGTGATCTGACGGGGAGCTGTGGCTCCCTGCTGCTGTCCAGCATCATAAGAGACAATCAGACTACATAGCACTAGCCCAGGAAAAGATCAAAATTCAAATGACAGTTTCAAATGAATGTATATCACTTCCACAACACCATAAGGTTGAAAATCTTTTTTTTTAAGATTTTATTTATTTATTTGACAGACAGAGATCACAAGTAGGCAGAGAGGCAGGCAGAGAGAGAGGGGAAGGGAAGCAGGCTCCCTGCTGAGCAGAGAGCCCAACGCGGGGCTCGATCCCAGGACCCTGGGATCATGACCTGAGCCGAAGGCAGCGGCTTCAACCCACTGAGCCACCCAGGAGCCCCCATAAGGTTGAAAATCTTTTTTTTTTTTAAGATTTTATTTATTTATTTGACAGAGAGAGAACACAAGTAGGCAGAGAGGCAGGCAGAGAAAGAGGAGGAAGCAGGCTCCCCGCTGAGCAGAGAGCTCGATGCGGGGCTCGATCCCAGGACCCCAGGATCATGACCCGAGCCGAAGGCAGAGGCTTTAACCCACTGAGCCACCCGGGCGCCCCAAGGTTGAAAATCTTAAGCGGAATCATCAAAAGTTGGGGACCATATGTAATTTTAATTTTATTTTATTGTGGTCAAGGAACATATCCTATGATTGCAATAATTTTATTTCGATTCAGAGATGTTTCATGGATTGACATATGATTCTTGCAAAAGCACTAGGTATACTTGAAAGGAATGTGTATTCTGCTATTGCTGGTTCTAACATTCTGTGAATATCAATTAGATCAAGGTGGTCCGATAATGTTCAGATTACATTTTCATTGTTTTTTCTGTCTCTTGTTGGACCATCTCCTGTGGGGTGTTAAAATCTATTAATATTGTGGAATTGTCTGTTTCTTCTTTTTAGTCTTTGTTTTTACTTCATGTATTTTTGAAGCTCTGTTATTAGGCACATACACATTTATGATTATTAGGTCTTCCTGATGAATCAACGCTTTTGCCACTATAAAATGACTCTCTTTGTTTCTGGTAGTACTTTTGGTCATGGGTCTATTTTGTCCAATACTAATAACCACCCCAGGCTCTCTGTGCTGTTTACACGGTGTCTTTGGGCAGCTGTAACAGAGTACCACAGACTGGGTCACTTATGAACAACAGAAACTTATTTCTCACAGTTTTAGAGGCTGGAATTCTAAGATCAGGGTGCCGGCATGGTCAAGTTCTGGTGAGGGATCTCTTCTGGGCTGCAGACTGCCAACTTCGTGTATCTCCACATAAGGGAAAGAGGACTTGGGAGCTTCCTGGGTCTCTTATAGGGTACGAATTTCATCATGAGGGCTCCACCCTCATGACCTAATCACCCCTGGAAAGTCTCACCTCCTAATACCATCACATTGGGGGTTAAGGTTTTAATATATGAATCTGGGGGGACAGAAACATTCAGTCCATGGCGCATGGTGTATCTTCTCCTTCAGCCTGTGCATGTCTTTATATTTAAAGTGCATCTCTTGCATATGGCGTACGTGGATCTTCCTTTTAATTTTGTTTTGTTAATTTCTGCTTTTTAATTGGAATATTTAATCCACTATTATTTAAAGTGGTTATTGATATGGTTAGATTTAAATCTCCCATTTTAATGTTTGTTTTCTATATTGATTTTTTATTCTTCCTTTTCTGCCTACTTTTGAACTTTTTGATTTTTAATATCCACGAAAGACTACCTATTAGCATTTTATTTTTTTTTAAGATTTTATTTATTTATTTGAGAGAGAGAGAATGGAGAGACAACATGAGATGGGGGGAGGGTCAGAGGGAGAAGGGCAGGACTCGATCCCAGCACTCTAGGATCATTACTTGAGCCGAAGGCAGTCGCTCAACCAACTGAGCCACCCAGGTGCCCTACCTATTAGCATTTTAGCTATACTTTTTGCACAATTTACTTAGTGGTTATGCTAGGAATTAAAATAAATATTTTTACTTCCTCATAGTCTTTTTAGTCTTTTACTGCACTTTCCCATAAAATTCAGTAATCCTGCAATCGTTTGGTTCCATTCACCAGCCCCCGCCGTTACTTATGTTCGTTGTCATAAGCATTACATCTAAATAGACACACACCACAAGCCAATGTCATAATTTTTCCCTTACACGATGCATACCCTATAATAAAGCCAATTCAATGACTTGTTAATTTCAGATACTGAATGGTTAAGTTCGAAGTTTTTTCATTTTTGTTCTTATTTATATTTTATAATTACCTGTTGAGGTTTTTTTGTTTTCTCATTTATTATCAGTGTGTTTTCCTTTACTCCAAAGTATAGTTGTCATAGATACTTCAATGTTCTTGTCTGATTAATTCTAACATCTTAATCTGGCCTGTCTTTTCCCTTGATAATGGGTCATATTTTCCTGGTTCTTTACATATCAAGTAATTTTGGATTGTATCCTGCATACTATGTTTTACTGAGACTCTGAATTCTGTTATGTCTAAAGGGTAAAGAGAATGTGTGTGTGTATGTGTGTGTAAAATCTTCCTCCAGTGAATGCTGATGTTTTTGTGCTTTAGAAGTGAATTCATTTGGTGAGACTCAAACCGCAAATGGTCTCACTTGGATGTAGGCAACAGCTCAGAGCTCATCTGCTTTCTTTTGTCCTTTTTGAGGTGTTTTGTGTCTGTGGTAGAAGGGTAGCCAGGGACCTGGGTTGAATCCGCACAAAAACCTAGGGATCCTTTTCTCTACCTCTCTCCTTTTCACAATTCTCTCCTCACTCTTGGGTGAGTATATTTGGCCTAACCTCTAGTTCATGGTTCCTCAGGCCAGAAGCCTGCTTGGTCTCCTATCAGCATTTCTGCCACCTCATGTCATGCTCTGACTATGGCCTGTTGCCTGAGTAAAGCTGCAAAACTGGGGCATACACCCCTTGTCAGTCCTTTCTTATGTGTTCTGACTCTGCTTTTTTTTTTTTTTTTTAAGATTTACTTATTTAGAGAGCATGAGCGTGGGGGTGGAAAGGGGCAGAGGAAGAGAGAGAGAATCATCAGCAGACTCCCTTCTGAGCATGGAGCCCAACACGGGGCTGGATCTCATGACATTGAGATCATGACCTGAGCTAAAATCGAGAGTTGGGCACTTAACCGACTGAGCCACCCAGGTGCCCTCAGTGTTTTGTTTTGTTTTTCAAGTAGGCTCCATGCCCAGCATGGAGCCCAATGCGAGACCTGAATCCACAACCCCAAGGTCAAAACCTGAGCTGAGATCAAGAGTCAGACACCTCAGCTGACTGAGCCACCCAGGTGCCCCCAGATTTATGATAACCAACAGAGAGATTCCTAACTAATGAATGTACGTGGGTAGGAAAGCCAAAAGTTATGTCATAGCTTTTCCAGTACTGTTAAATACTGAGAATGAATTCCTAGCCAAGAGAAGAAACAAAAATGTCACATCTGTTAAACTTTTGTTTCAAGAAGCCTCCCCCCAGGAATCTTTATAACCTGTGCTGAACGTGTAGGCTTCCTTGTCACAGAGCTATAGAAAAGGGGCTCTTTATCCTATCCAGTTTGAGCAATGCAGATTTAGTTTTTGTAAAAATCAAAACTTATTTGTCATTTCGTAATGTTGAAAATATTTTCATGGTGATCTCTCCATGAGCTTATAACCAGATCACCGACCTACTCACCGTGATCAACTCAGTGTTGGTTTTGCCATTGTCCCATTCTCTTTGGTTTGCCAATGAAATGACTGATAATCAATAATTGTTGGGATCACTGTTATCTTTTCTCTAGAGTTGAGAATTCTCTACTTCCAATAACATGACTAATAATTTTACACCAAGTACTTCTCTAAATCTTTTTTACTCCTTGGTACTAGAGCACTCTGATTTGCCCAGACTAGCTCTCTGAAGGGCGTAGGGAACGCAGTACTTACCTGTACTCCTTAAAGCAAGTGACACCCCCTCTAGGGCATTGCAGCTCCTCAAAGAAATGGCTGAAGAGTCCAGATGGTCTGTTAGGCACCTTGTTCCTTTGGTTTTAAGTTTCTTGTTACTCTGGATAAGTAAAGGATACAATAAATATTACAACAAACAATTGTTTCAGAATTTTAATGTTCTTACCTTCAACATCCCAGGTCCAAAATTCTAAATGCGTTTCTCCCATGGGGACAGAAAACCTCATTCAACTTCTGCCCCCCTTGGCAGAGACCATCAAAGATTTTCTCTCCTTTTAACTCTACAGTGTCTCTAACTCTCCAGGGATGGCTCTCAGGCACCTCTAGGCTTAAATGCTACGGAAGTTGGGTTACAAAACTGAAAAAGCTACAGTCCCTTAAGGGCATGGGACTCAAGGCAGTGATCCCATGCGCTTTCAATAGGGTGCCGGCTATTTCCCCTGGCTGTGTTCTTCTGAAACAGGTTAACTAGTTCTTGTTATCAGACTCGGCTAGAGATTTGCATTTGAGCTATACCTCAGTGACTTTGGGATTACTATGGTGTGATTCTTTAGGAATTGTTTATGTTCAAGATAAACTGTCAGGGGGCGCCTGGGTGGCTCAGTGGGTTAAAGCCTCTGCCTTCGGCTCAGGTCATGATCCCAGGGTCCTGGAATCGAGCCTCACATCGGGCTCTCTGCTCAGTGGGGAGCCTGCTTCCCCTTCTCTCTCTGCCTAGCTCTCTGCCTACTTGTGATTTCTCTCTCTGTCAAATAAATAAAGAAATTTAAAAAAAAAATCCCACCTCCTAATACCATCACATTTAGGGGTAGGGTTTAAAAAAAAAAAAAAAAAGATAAACTGTCAGTAAGATGACCATACAATTTATCATCCAAACCTAGAAGCTTGAGAAAGAAGCTACTAATAATCATGCTGGGAAAATAGGGGTAAACCTTAACCGCCCCAGGCAAACTGGGACTTGGTTAATCCTCTTAAAACTAGTCTTTGATAGAGGGCCCAGTGTCTCATTGTCTTTGTCAACTCTGTACAAATGGCACCTCCTCAGAGAAATCTTTACAGGATCTTTTTTCTACTTAATCATCCAGAATCTTATTTTTTACCTTGGCATATAGAAAGAAAGCTAGACTGCTTAGCTTAGAATCGTGGCTCTATCTTTATTAGTAGAAAAATCTTGGGCAAAGTATTTAACCATTCTTTGTTGGTTTCCTCATTTGTGAACGAGGTATTAATAATGACAGCACTTACTTCACAGCGCATTGTGAGGATGAGTTCATAAATGCGAAGCTCTCGTAACACCACCTAGCCTGTAAATGCTATTTATTTAATAAATAAATAAGTTATTACTTCCTCTAAAAATGTTCTCTTTTCTTCCAGAGTCAAGTCCCAGATCAGTAAAAACATTTGCATTTCTGAAGCCAAGTTGGTATTAGTTACTCTTGCTCCATCTACTTTTTCAAATTCTGGTATTTTGAGAGGAAAGATTTTTCACTTCAGTGGTGTCCTGAGTGAAAAATTAAGTCACCTTAAGCTCCAATTTATGCTCCAGTATTTGCTGCATTATACAATTTGCTTTTATACATTTTATACATTATATATTACACATATTATAATTATATATATACATATATAATGTGCATAAATATATACATATTACACATTTTATACAAGTATACATTTGCTTTTCCCGGGTAGCTTTCTGGCTTTTATCTTAAAGCAGGTTTCTGGTTTCTATAGGAGGCCCCAACTTTGACACAGGAAGTCATTCCCCAAATCTAGAAGCCAAAAGGGAAAATGTTTTATAAAATGACTAACTCATTGGGTGTCACCTAAGATCTGGATTTTTTGCACACTTTGCATAAAATGGAATGGTAATATTTTTCATTTATCTTGAAGACAGTCAAATTATAATTTCTACTTATTAGGACAGAATGTTAAAATGCTGCCTCATGCATCACCCAATGTAAAAGAGTAATTTTTGTAAACTACAGAGACTGTGTTTTCTGTATTTTGGAGGGCACAGAAATATTATTAAAGATTTCCTTTTGATCTTAATTTTAGAATAATGTTCTTTTAATGTTTTACATACATAAAATGTATATAAAATGATATGACAAAGCCTCATATATCTACCACTTGATTTATGAAAACAGAGCATTACCAATTATCTGTAAGTTCCCCTATATACCCTTTCCCCTCTCTTCCCCTCTCCTTCCCTCAGAGCTTTTAGTCCAAATTTTGTGTTCATAACATTTAGGGTCTTAATAGTAGTTTAGGCATGTGTTTATCTCCCTGGACTATATATTATTTGACAATTTTTGTAATTTGTACAAATGGAATCATATTGTATGCCATCTTCTGTGATTTGCTCTTTAGAATATTATATTCCTGAAATCCATCCTTGATATTGCATAGCTGTAATTCATTCATTTTAACTACTATATATATTTCCATTGAATGACTATACAAAAAATTGATCAGTTTTACTGTTGATATATTTCGGTTGATTCCCATTTCATCTGCTATTAAAAGTGTTATGAACATTTCTGTACACATATCCTGGTAACGTTTAAGAATTTTTCTAGGATATTATTTGGGAAGTGCTGGCTGTAAGGCATACACAACTTTAAATTTTAGTACTTGATGTCAAACTGTTTTCCAAAGTGGTTGTGCTAATTTACACTACTAAACAATGTGTAGGTGTTCTCCCATGGCTCCACATTTTTGCCAACACTTGTTATTGTGGTATTTTAAAACTTTCATCCATTATATGCATGACATGGCATCATTGTAGTTTTCATTCCTGTGTTCCTGATCATTAGTGGGTTTAGAATCTTTTTATACACTTGAGTTTCCTATCTGTGAAGTGCCTACAGAGGTCTTTGGCTCTTTCTTCAAGTGCACGGTCTCTTTCGTAAGGGTTGTTCACCTAGTTTAGATCGGTGGTCCTCTACTAGAAGAGAATTTGCTATTTAGGAAACATTTAGCAATGCCTGGAGCCGTTTTTGACGATTACAGGCGGGGTGCGGAGCTTCTGGCATCTGGTAGGGAGAGACCAGAGACGATGCTAAACAGCCTACGATGCGCAGGGCAGCTCCCAGAACAAGGAAGCATCTGCCCCAGTAAGGTACCAGTGCCAAGGTTTTGAAGTTTTGTTCTAGATACTAAAATGTTATTAGTTACATGTATGTGTTGCAAATATCTTCTCCCAGTTTGTGGGTATTTTCATTTTTTTAATGGTACCTTTGGATGAGAAATTCTTAATTTTAACATAATTGAAGTTACCAGTTTTTTTTTTTTGTATGGACTATACTTTTTGCATCTGATTTAAGAAAGTGCCCGTCCTCAAAATCTATTCTCCAATTGAGTGTTTTAAAATTTTTTGATTTTGCTTTTTTACATTCAAGTCTTTAGTCAACCTAAAACTGATTTGTTTATGATGTAAGAGTCCAAAATTAATTTTTTATATGGAAAACGAGCTGTCTGAGCACCATTTGCTAAAAATCTGTCCTATGCCCACCGGTCTAGAATGCTGTCAAAAATCAAGTTTGAAGAAATGGGCTTAATCCTGGTTCTTTATTACCACCTTTCAATCTGGAAGCTAAAGTTATTTTCTCCTTCTTATAAAAGGAAAACTGAATCCCAGGAGTTGAAGGCTTTTATGAATTCTGAAGAAAACTGATTTTAAGAGGGTTTATTGTTATTTTAGTGTTTGCTTATATTTTCCAGAGAAACAAAAAGAAGGGGACTGGGAGGTTATTATTTTGAATACCAAGGCCAATACCTCTAAAACGGAAATGAACTCACTCATTTTGTTGAAAGTTGTTTCGATTCCCCACAAACTACATTTGCCTACAGTACACATTTCAGGAAGGCTAGAAATGCATTTACTTTTCAAATAGCCAAAGGGAGCCTTTTCTGAAACACTTTCTTAATACCTAGCACTTAACCTTGTATGTATATCATCTAATTCTTTAATCTAGGAGTTATAACAGAAATATCCATATTCTTTTAAAAATAGTGAGAAAGGCCATTTTCCTACTGCTAAGAAGCTAGCCCTTACATAAGGACATTTGTGACTCCATCATTCCCGGAAAGGAATCCATAGCTCAAAGAATAACCATACTTGTCCATCAGCCTGAGCCTCCAGCTTTCAGATCCAACTGCTCCAAAGCCAGGGGCAAGCACTGCTCACAGAATGAGGCAGAGAAGAGAAGTATACACACCCTTCTTACCCTTTATTCTCTTCCTAACGCTTTCCCTTCATTGTCATTTATCCCATGCAAGCTCTGCCCAAGTACTCAACAGCACTGAAATGGGATGATTTTACTGTAATACAAACTACATTTTGGGTGTGAGGAAAATCAGAAGCAGAAATGTAAATTCACTGACTCAGAAAAAGTAACAGCACGGAGACAAAAAGTTTCCAGAGAAAGAAAAAAAATTCAATTTCTTCCTCAGGAAAATACTCTGAAAAACTATTCCCTCTTTACATTATGTCAGTTACTTGCTATCGGTCCTTAACAATATTTTTTATTTTCCTGAACACTCCTGAAATGATTGTCAACTAAGAATGTAATTATTCTGGAACCTTCATGTATGGGTTTTTAGGGGGAATAAGAAGGGATTTTCTGTGGTGACAGCCCATGGTCCATGATGTCCACTTTGGATACTTGATCACCACGAAACTTGCCAACTGATGGCCAAGCACTGATGCAGACTGTTCATGAAACACCACGGTTGGACGGAGTGTCTCTAGCTGATTACCATGTCCAAGATCAGGTGGTACTTAAACCCAAGGAGGCTAAGAGTATCTATCAGATCTAGAGCCCTCAAATTGATTTTATCAAATTTATTAGATCTGGAATTCTGTTTAGAACCACATAGCAGAAAGAATCAGAATTCAGGGGTCTGTATTTATCAAATGGCCTGTTTATATCTGTTTCAGAAATATGGGCATAGGTGGTCCCTGGTGGTCTTTTAAGGAAATTTTCGTGGAAAAGTTACAGGTTTCCACCCCGTTTACCAACATTAAATAAGCAGTTTCCTAAAATGAGCAGGCAAAGACAAACAAGAGTTGCCCCACAGACATGGTAAAGACACACAGAAATAGCACTTTCTAGTAATTTAAATGTATTTAATGCCCCAAATAAGCCAGACTGAGAAACCAACTGGTTTTGCAGTGACCGCTGAGTTGAGACCATGTGCACAGCTCTGGATTACTCACTACAAAAAAAAAAAAAAAAAAAAAGGCAAAGACATAAACATGAAAGTCCTGCAACCATCGGACACACACACACAGCCTGTTGAGGGTGGAAGATTCTGATCACTCTGCGGGTTACCTGTCAAGGAAAGGGGCGCCTCTGTGTCTCCAGGTAAGGAAGCAGCAGCTGCAGTCATGGCCCAGACTCCCGAGACCAGGCAGGTCTCCTCCCAGGGGAGCCGCCCCTGCACTGTACCTGTTTCCTCGTGCCACAAGCTGTGCCCACATGCAGACTAGAAAGCCCTGCAGGTGAAACATCACAATCACACGGACAACAATGCCAGGAGCACAGGAAAGGTCACCCTCCACATGCAACTCACACCCAAGATGCCGCCAGGGGCCTGCACCGGGAAAATGGTAGAACCCTACCCCTAAAAGAGGCTCTTCCACACCGGGTCTCCGCATACACTGGGGACAGCCAAAAGGGTGCCAGCTGGATTGTCGTCGTGATACATGTGAATAAATGTGAAACATGGTTAGTAGTTAACATTTCCACCGAATTGTTGAAAATACAGTTTTGGGTGTGGCGGGGGGTGGGGTGGGGGGGCGGCATCTTAGCTTTTAACATGCCGTCACAGCATCCGGCTCAAACTTAACCAAATAGGACCGAGCTGTGGTTGGAACTGCAGAAAACCGGAAATGGGACAACTCGGCAATTGCTGCCCGCCGGGCCCAGGGGTATCCGGGTACCACGCTGGGATACCGTGCGTGGAAGGGCTGGTCCGTCTGGGGACAGACCGCAGCGCTCAGCCTCCGCCGGCCCTGGAAGACCACGGGAGTCCTTCCTGTTCCCGGACTTCGAAGCGGCGGCGCGGCCAGGTGGGAAACCACCCCGCGCGCGGTCCCCACACGGGTTCCCAGGTGGAGGACAGTTTGAGCTCTTCTGCGGGCAGGCGTGAGGCGGCAGCGAGTCCTACAGATGAGTGGGTTCTGACGGCAGAGCGCGGAGAACTATACCGGGGAGCGCAGCGTCCGCACTTGCCAAGACCATTTCCCG